CTCTTTCTTTCTTTCTTTCTTTCTTTCTTTCTTTCTTTCTTTCTTTCTTTCTTTCTTTTTCTTCACATGGTCTCATGTAACCCAGACCAGCCTCAAACTCACTATGTACCCTAGGATGACTTGACTCCTGATCTTCCAGCCTCCACTTCTCAAATACTGTGACTACAGATGTTTACCACCTGACTTGACTCAGTCCAATTTTTATCTAAAATATTTATGCCATTGGAAGGAAATCCCGTTAGTGAGATACGTGTTTGATTTACCTAGAGAGTATTTCCATCCTTAATGTTACCATAGTAAATACTACCAAACAGAAGCTGACATATTTCAGTTCTAATTTTCTCACTAGTCTCTGTGAGTAGTTCGGTTTCTCAGTCTAAAGAATAATAGTACTGTTTGATATGTAAACTACATATTGCCCATGAAGGTAAATTTAGTACATTAGTAAAAATTTATGAATGTTAAAATCATCACCAACAGAGCTTCTTCTAGGCATGGACTCATCTAATCTGTCTCATTTATCACAACATGGTATTCAGGAGCTGTAATGTAATAAATTTTTATTTGAATGGATTTTTACAGTTAGCTAAAATGTCTAAAGTTGCAACTGTTGAAAGGAATCCCATCTTTCCAAGTCTTTAAAGACAAAAATTTCTTAAACATAAAGGCCTGAATGTAACAAAACTCCAAGTAAATCATCTAAGGTTTGTAACTGAAACTAAGGTTCATATGCTTATAAAAAAAAGTCTCAAAACTACAACTAGAACCTTTAGTTTGTTTCTAACTTAACATCTAAGCTGAAAACATAACGGGTATACTTGTCATTCTGTCTGTACTTTTAAAAGGTAGTATATGAAATGGCCGTGTGGAATACTTTATTTTCTAGGCCAACACACGATTTGCTTGTATCAACACATTGTCTCCAGTTTTCCACAGTGGTGCTAAGATAGTGACATTGCACTGTAAGTCCCAGGGACAGAAAGGGCCTGGCTAGAAACTGTTACATACCGCTTTAGTCAGTATTAAAGTTTTCATCTAGAAAGTTTTCATTAAAAAATAGGTACTGGCATATGTGTTCTAAATCATTGATTTTTCCCCCCATACTATGACCTATTATTTGATAGAAAAGTAATATTCTGCTTTGATATAGGATTTTTTTTGCCTTCATGTCAGAAAAAGACAAACCAAATCCACAATTTTAGCTATGAATTAAAGGCCCTTTTTTATCAAGGTGTCTATGAATTATGTAGGTATGTCCTTAGTATTCTTGCTATGATAGATAAACAAACTTTATAAACATGAGGCAACAATTATTAGTATATTGTTTTTGCTTTTGTTCAGTAGTCTGAACATTATCTTGTCTGTGGCCTATTGTAGCTGCCCTAGAAATGTTGTTTGACTCTGCTGTCACCTGCTCTTAGAACTTTTCCTCAAAATGTCATGTCTTAGTTCTAGGCAGCTCTAACACAGTGGGGACCAAACAGGAGAGCAAGTTCAACCAATACAGTTTACTCTGAATATTTTAATTAAAACAGTATATCTTCTCATTTATACATACTTGTATTAAACCAACTCATAATGTCTACATGAGTAAATCTAATACATATTTATACCAGTTTAAATGTTTTGGGTTCATATCTTCTTTATTAAATAACATACAAAATAAACAGATAAGTCGAATGTTTCCACGAAGGACAGGTAATGTTCAAACCTTGGTCTATGCCTCCCACTAGGTTTCATGGTATCAAATGCAAATCTTGACATAGATGAAGTCCATGAAGTCTTTACATACTGAAGTATTGGGGGGGTGACAAAATTATATTTCTATTAATATCTATCATTATCTTTGCTTTTATAAGGATTTTGTATTGTTATATGTGTGGGTGAAGACATTTAAATAATTAAAATACATGAAAATGACTTTTTAAGGTTATGCCATGCCTTAACTTGGAATTACGAAGTGTCAATCAAAAATTTAGAAAGTTTAATAATTCAGTGTTCAATGGTGCTGAAAACATTACAATCACCATTTTGCTACAATTTTAAATATTTTTGCAACTAAAGTTATTAAGTGTGAACTTATTATCTATTCTGGTGCTAAATATAAGGTGCTAAGTCAATCATCAACGTTCATGGTTTCAGTACTGCTCTTTTTATTCACTGAACTCTTAATTTAAAAATAATAGTAAAAACTATATCTAATCTTCACCAACTTAAGCCATTTACATATGTTTTCTCTTTATTTAACAATACAAAGTTATTAAATTTAAATACATTTTTTAGAAGTTTTCAATTTCTTCTTCAAGAAGGCTTTCTTGTTTTTCTTTTTTTCTTTTTTTCTTCCACTTGAAAGTTAAATGACACCTGTATTACATGCTGCAGGCCTTGGCGCCCTCTGGTGTTTATGAAAACAAATTTGTAATGGCTCATAGACCTTCAGTAAAAGCCATTTGTGCTTAGTAAGAATTAAAGTTGCAACATAACGGAGTTTTCTAATACTCCCTAAATTTTCCAGCGTTAATAAAAAAAAAGCTTGACTCATTTGACACCCTTTACTAACAGGATAAAATAGCTCATATATCCTGACACACATGTTCTTCAATATTGTCATATGATTTTCCACTTCTAAGGTGCTTATTCAAATGTGGTTCTATTGATTTTTTTGTGTTCTTTTTAGAAATGAATAATGATTGTAACTCATTTTTAGAAGTATTCAGTTTTTCAGCATAGCATATACATAAAAGGAGGCAACCTAAAATAGTAACTACATATATAAAAGTGTGATTCAGTTTTGTTGATCTATAATGTAATGGTGTTATTCTTT